CCGGCAGGCAGCGAGGAGCTGTGTGGGGCTGGGCAGGAAGCAGCTAAGCTGTCTGTGCCATTCACCTAGCTAAGGGGATGAAGGTCATGCAGCCCTTCCAAACTGGGGGTCTCCTGCAGGCAGCTCAGTCCTGTCCCTTGCCCCCCATGGGAGGGGCACCAAGGCCCTGCCCTCAGGCTGGTGCTGCCCCAGGGAGGGATCCTGCTGGGCATGGCCGTCTGTGCACCCAGGGCTCAGCTAGGCAGGTTTTCCCCGCCCCTACGGCCACCCATCCCTGACCAGGGCTCTGGGCCAAGCTTGTGCTTGGCTCCCCAGCCCTGCTGCACCTGGGGAGACCCTTGGGGAGGGCCCTGCAGTCATCCCTAGCCTGGTGCCAGGCCCCTGCACTGCCAATGGGCAGCTACCATTCAGTGTTGCCATTTGCACTTCCAGCTCTGCACAAGAGGGTTCCAGGCTGGCTGTCCCCTGCCCCCGCCGCCCTCCAGGCCATGCCCTGACTTTGCCACCAGCTCAGGGGCCAGTTCGCCAAGCCACATGGGCTGCAAGGCACCCCCACCACGGCTGTGGCAAACGTGCGAGTGCAACAGCCTGCGTGTCTGCTGCAGGGAGCCCCTGTGTGGCAGCCCTGACCTCTCCCCCCGCCCCCCAAGGTGCTGGAGACAACTGGGCACCAGAGTCAAGTGGTGCCGTTCCGAGGCCCTGCCTGCAGGGAGAGGGGATGGGGGCTGACCCTGTGCATAGCCAGCGAGGGCGCTAACTGGACAGGCCAGAGCCCTGTCAGTGCTAAAGGGCCCAGCCCCTCACGCCTGTCAGTATCCAGCACTTTGGGTGCTCTGCCAGCATCCCTTCTGCCCAGTGTGCTGCTGGACCTGGGGCCGGGGGGCGGAGGGGGGGAACACACGCGGCAGGGCTGAGGCAGGCAGCTACAGCCCAGCAAGCTGCCAGGCCTGAGCTGGGGCCCCTGGACATGCCCTGCAGTGCTGTGTCAGCCCCCTCAGCACAGGGTCTGACCAGCTGGGCCGCGGCCACAGGCAGGGCAAGGCCTGGCTGCTGCCTGGGGTGCAGCAGGCACCTCCCACCAGCAAGGAGCAGGCAGAAGCTGGTGCTAGGCCAGAGTGTGGCTGGGCTTGACTCACGTCAGGTAACCAACCTCCAGGCCCCTGTGGCCTTGAGCATGTGGCCCTGCAGGGCTTGCTCCCTGGCCTGGGCCTGAGCCAGCTAGAGCACAGGCAGACACTGCTCCCCCAAACTGTCCCCCTGCGGATACAGGCTGGGGGCTGCGGGCTCCTTGCA